GTGGTGAGGGTGATGAAGCAGTAGTAGTAGGCATGGAAGAAGCTCCAGTGCTCGTAGTAGGAGAAGGCGGCTGCCCCAATGCAGAGGGTGCTGATGCAGGAGAAGAAGCCGATGGTGACCATGTTGGCCATGGAGACCTCCGCCCGCCTCATGCCAAGGCACTTCTTGATGCGGTGGAGGAGGTACTTGACAAAGGTGTTGATCCTCTCGCCCAAGCTCTGGAACATGACGAGGGTGAGGGGGATCCCCAGAAGGGCGTAGACCATGCAGAAGACCTTCCCCCCGTCCGTGCTGGGGGCTGCATGACCGTAACCTGGGGAGCAAAGCCACAGAGCGGGATCAGCTTTGGTGCTCCGAGGGGGTTGCAGGGTGTGCAGCACCTCAAACCGCTTCCCTGACTGAGTTACTGGTGGTGGACCTCAACCCTGAGCGGTGCCAGCCTCACCCCCAGGCACCCCAGGCTGGTGGGGTTAATGGAGTCTTCCAATGAAAATGAAGGGGTGGGAGTTGGAGAAGGGGGAAACCCTCGGCTTGTGGGAAAAGGAACTGGGGGGCTGGCGGGGGGTGACGGACAAGGTGCTGCATCCCTGGGTTGAGGTGGGGGCAGATGGGGATGCTTGGATGGATCCTGGCTGGGCTGAGCGGACGTTCCTCAGCCTTGGGGTTTGGAAAATTGGAGATCGCTCTTCCCTGAAACAGCCATCCCAGGATGGCCCATCTCACAGTGGAGAGGCGCAGGAGAGGGGCAAAACAGGGATTTTTAAGGAATTGGGCGACAAGGGGGACTGGCTCCTCTCTGGCAGCCCAGACCCACACCCCCACATCCCCAGGCTCCATCCAGGTGCTGCCATGGGAGCTGGGGAGCACCGGCACCCAGCCCCACGCTGAAGGCAGTCTGGGTTTCAGGGAACTCCTGCCCACAGGAAACCCACGCAGGCAGGAATACTCTGCCCCTGCGCTGGCAGGTCAGTTGTCCCCAACACATCCCGGGCATCCCTCTGCCTGGGCACAGGCAGCAGAGCGTGTGGGATGTGTGGGTGCTGAGCGGGGCTGCCCTCGCCACCAGGTACCAGCCATTCCCCTTCCCTTTCCCCCTCTCCACCACCGCAGAGCAGCAGGCCAGGGACTGCGGGAATGGTCAGGGGCTGGGGCACAGGCTGCCCTTGGCTGGGGGCTTTGGTGGGCCAGGGGCTACACTGAAAATTGAAAGCAGATATATGTATATTAGATATAAGGAAAAAAGAAGCATAGAATCACATAACATTTTGGGTTGGAAGGGATCTTAAAGCCCCCCCAGTGCCCCCCCCTGCCATGGGCAGGGACACCTTCCACTAGACCAGGTTGCTCCAAGCCTCATCCAGCCTGGCCTTGGACACTCCCAGGGATGGGGCATCCACAGCTTCTCTGGGCAACCTGTCCCAGTGCCTCACCACCCCCTGCGGGAAGAATTCCTTCCTGATGTCCCATCTCCATCTCCCTCTTCCCGTTTAAACCTGTCACCCTTTGTCCTGTCACTCCCTGCCCTTGGGAAAAGCCTCCCCAGCTTTCTTGTAGCCCCCCAGGCACTGGAAGGGGCTCTGGGGTCTCCCCGGCGCTTCCCTTCTCCAGGCTGAACCCCCCAACTCCCCCAGCCTGTCCCCAGGGCAGAGGGGCTCCAGCCCTCGGAGCATCTCCAGGGCCTCCTCTGGACTCGCTCCAACAGCTCCGTGTCCTTCTGCTGTTGGGGCCCAGAGCTGGAGCAGAACTGCAGGGGGGTCTCCCCAGAGCGGAGCAGAGGGAGAGCATCCCGTCCCTCGACCTCCATCTCCAGAGCATCCCAGAGAGCCCCAGCAGCAGAGGGGACACTGAGGCAATGCCATTCTACCCGGGTGCCGGCCGTGTCCCACAGCAGGGCTGGGCAGTTCATTTCAAACTGGGTCACATCCTGCTGCCCTGGGGGCAGACACCGGAGCCTTCACCCTGCCTGTGTGCCCCCTCCTGCCCTTCATCTCCTGCCAGACACCTCCAACCCGCTCCCAGCTGCCCCAGTCTCCCCATTCCTTGCCCATCAGCCGCTCAAGGACGGGCTTTTAGGACGCGACCCTCGAGAGCTGCCTGCGGGCCCCATCCCTGCCGACAGCCTCGCCGAGCATCCTCCTGCCTGCTCCTGCCTTCCCGCACCAGTGCTGCCTCCCGCAGCTATTTTTAGCCCCGTTTCCCCAGGGAAGGGAGTTTATGAGCTCTCGCAGCGCGTCCAAGCGTCCGTCAATCTGCCAGCCCTCCCCTTCCCCGGCTTTAGCAGGCACTGCCTGACCTCCAGCACGTCTGAGGATGGGGGGAAGGTCACCGGGATATGAAATCCAGTCATCAGGGAGAGGGAGACCCTGGGAAGGTGGAAGAGAGAGTGAAATCCCCCAAACTCCTCTCCCATCTGAGGTTTCATTCCACCATGGGAAGCTCCGGGGGATGCAGCAATGTGCTGGAAGCTGCCACATCCCACAGCGTCCCCCCCCACCGGAATTCCTGACTTTGGGGCATATCCCAACCTGGAAAAGCTCCTGGGAACAGGCAGCGAGGGTCCCACCATGCTCCTGCCCTCCCTGCTGAAGGGGCTCAGCATCCCTGCTCCTCTCCATCTCCTGCCTCCGTCCTGCAGCCCCCCCCAACCTCCCCAGTGGGAGGGGTTGGGAGGCCCAGTGGGGGACTCCTCAAAGGGGTGTCCCAGGAGGGATGCTGCCGAGGGACAGCACAGTCAGGGTGCTCTGGGCACAGGGTGCTGCAAGCAGGAGGGGAGCACAGCCTGTGTCCCTGGGGAGAAAATATGACATGTCCCTGAGGAACGTGGTCGGCTCGTCTCCTTTTTAGGGCTGCGGAGGAGCAGGGATGGATCTGGCCGCGGCTGCGGAGCAGGTGCAGGTCTCGGCTGGAGCAAATCCCAGGCTGTCGGGAGCGATGGATGGTGGGGATTAGCGGGGCAGCTGCTGGGAACGGGAGGAAAGGGGGGGCACGCTTTGCAGAGCAGAGGTGTTACGGAGGGTGCAAAGGGCTGGGAAGGCAGGGAGAGGGTCCCTGGGAGGTGGCACTGGGTGCTGAAGGGGTATGGGAGGGGGCTAAGCCCACCAGGGAGGGGATGTCCCAGCTGACAGCAGGGGTTGGGAGCTGGGCTGGGGTATGAGGGGTGTGAAGCAATGAGAGAAGCAGCTCCCAGCTTTACAAAGCCACTGCAGGAAAGCAGGAACTGGCAGTGAGCGA